CACAAACACATTGTTAAACAAAGTGGCGTATGATCTATTGGTGCTGTGGTTATATGCAAATCTCTCAGTTAAAAAGAAATACCTTTAAATTTTAATCCTAAACTCTGCCACTTCAAGGACAAGGAAGAAACTGATTCCAAAAGACTTGCATTAAATTACACCACTTTTTAGACTTCGTTCATGAAGGACTGTGTGTGGAAAATACCAGAAGCAAATGGTATTTGTCAACTTACGTCTCTTTGAGTTGGAGCAGGCCAGAGATTCTTCAACAACAAATGGAAATGAAACAATGAAGCTTCTCCAATACTGTATAGTGATCCATGATTTTTTTTGCAAAGTCTGTCTTGTTCTTGGGGGCATCAATTTGTAGGCAGAGGAATTGATGCGGAAGATAGAGAAAGAGGAGGAACAGGTTGCCTACGACGAGCCGGACAAGAAAATCTATCATCTCTGTATTGTCAACCTGGTCATCGGTACCCTGTACTGTGCCAAGGGCAACTATGAGTTTGGCATCTCGCGCGTCATTAAGAGCTTGGAACCTTATAACAAGAAGGTATGGACCACTGCACAGCATGAGAAATGCTGCTTTTGGAAATTCTTATACCCAAGTTTGTTGGTGTCTTTCTGCTGAAATTGAAAACATTCAAGCAGTTTTCTTTTAGTATGAGGTGACCACCGCAAGAATTCTAGTGTAAAATGTTGGGCAAAACATTGGTCCGTGATAAATTTAAATTTTGAATAACTCTGATCAGTCTTCATGAAAATCACATCTTGAACATGCATCTTGAGCAAAATCGAGCAAGAGAATAGCAAATGCTTTTTTAGATGAAATCTAAGTCATTTCGTTTAAACAGAGTACATGTACAGTCATGTAGAGTTTAAAGTGAGCTTGATCAAAATGTCCTGAAAGGGGACAAGGGTATAGACATCTTCATCAAATTTACATATTTAATTTGATTAATATTAGTCCCACTCATATAGACCCTCAAGCCCCGTGCACTTTATTCATGCTGTTGAAAAAAAGTGAGTTTTATTTAGTTCCAAAACTAAATGTTTTAAAAATTGTAAGATTAGTGATAAAGCCAAGGTAGAAGTTAAGATCTCAAAATGTTTTGTATCATCAAATCTTTTCATTTAGTTGGGCACTGATACCTGGTTCTACGCCAAGCGCTGTTTCCTATCTTTACTGGAGAACATGGCTAAGCACATGATCATGTTGAGAGACAGCGTCATCCATGAATGCATACAGTTCTTGGAACATTGTGAAGGTAAGAGACCCCCCAACAAAATAACTTTGTCAGATCTGTCAAACAGAAAAAGGTTTACTCTTGTTTCAGCTTGCAGTTCAATTAGCCCATTGTGGCCTGATTTTTGGACATACAGATTATCTGTCCAGGAACTAGATTCAAAAGAACACATTTTTGCAGGTTTTTTTGCCCTAGGAGTGTGCTTGTCCAGCCTGAAATGAAATGTTATAAGTAACAGCACCGTGTCTTAATTGGCAGAGCGGCATGTCACATTGACTGGGAATGAAAGTGGTTGATTATCAATAATTCAGAAAGAAAGGGACTGAAATAGGTCAGACTCAAAACAGGTTTCTGTTAATGCTTTAACCTGCCATCAGCAGCAATGTACACAGTGGGGTATCCGGGAGTGGGGGGGGGGGACTCTCCCTGACAGATTAGTTTTTTCACTTTTTCCCCTTTGTCACTAAGAATGCTTCATAGGTGAGTCGCAAAGTACAATCAAACCTCGTTAATAAGAGCGCTGTTAATACAAGATTCTGCTTAAAACAAGGACAATTTTACTTCCTAATCCTTTGTTTTTCGTTGTTTTCATTCCTGGTAATTCAAGGGTTCTTGTTATAACGAGGTAGTTTGCCAAGTCCAAAGGACCTCTCATTAACGAGGTTCAACTGTAATCAGTATGGTTATTTATCAAATAATAGCACTAAACCCCAATAAAACACTGCAAAATTAAAGATGTCGGAATCGTAAGGGTTTTGATACTGTTTCTCCCCAACATCATGTTGAATAAACCCAAAGCTGCATTCACTTTTGAATTTGCCCACCCTGACACCAAAACCAGGATACTCTGCTTATTGTACAGTTAGTAAACATAGCTTGCTGTAATTCTACTGCACTCCAATGACGTAATGGTATATACAAATAGTACTTGCATGTAGGTGATAGTAAGGTACCACCCTTTTCACGTCAGTCAAATCCAAAAATTTCAAGTGTGGTTTATTTGTTTGACAGCTTACGGGCGCGACGTTAAGGCCATCATCGAGCAACCATTGGAAGAGGAACCCCTTCACGAGGGCAAGAACACGGTCACCTATGAGTCGCGGATCTTAAAAAGCCTCTTCCTAGAACTGACATAAAGGCCAGATTTATTTTCCCACTTTGTCTATACAAACCATAGGCAAATAGACCAGCTTCATTCTTACCCAATGTCTGCTGCGCACTCTTCTACCATAGACTCTCTTCCACCTGTATTTTGGCATGCATCAGCAGTTTGGGTTGGGTTATGTTGTAAGTTCTATGTGTACTTCTGGTTAGTGTCTCAACACCGAAATGTAAGATGTGCATTACTGCTTAAGACAGAATACAGGGCGTAGTTTTCTTGGGATATACTGATGCGTTAATGTTTGTGTTCCTCCGTGTTTCAAGTTTTGGGATGTTTAATAGCCTCGTGCAGGAACGAGGGAGGGAGCTTTGTTACCTAGCAGTAATGTCTCAGATATTTTTACAAAAGTAGCCATGCAAGTTGTAGACTTGTAGTCTGTGATTTTGAGAGCCAAATGGGCCACGCCATATGGTCTAAAAGCTGTTGCATGATGCGTTGACATTCTGCATCTTCAAATCCGGTGCATGTACGTTCTTGTGCGTGTTATGTATATGCTGGACGGTCAGCACTTTCGCAAACTGATGCGATACTTTTTACGATGTGTCTGGGGAAACTCCCTTGGCAAGGATACCCTCGTTTCCATGCATGTGGCATGGAGTACACATGGATTTTGTCAGTTACGTTGTAAGGCGATTTACGTTGTGAAAATCAGACATGCCGTTCTGGCAAACTACCCATTCCCCCCCTCCCGCCATGCTTATTGCACACAGGCCAGTATGCACGAGGCCATGAACTTCAAAGAATTGTAACAATGTAAATGTCTTTTACTGGACACATAAAATTTCATCACTGCAGACTTTGATATAGTGTACGCGATCTCAAAGAAAACTCAAGTTTGTACATGTAGGATTCATATGAAGCACCTCAGCATTGTACCATTCATAATTTAATGTATGAGTGTTTCAAACAGTTCAATAAAAAAACCCAAACTGATAATTTGCTCGTCTTCTGTGAAATGGATTTTTATTACCTTTTTCTAGACTTCAATTAAAATACGACATACATTTATATATACTGTACGTTTATCAGGATTCCAGCTTAGAGGGAAATTCTCAGAGTACCAGCTTAAGGTCTGGCGATCAAAGTAATAAAAATTAGTAAGTTTAATTTTACAGTAACTGTATTCACACTTTCTAGTACAGGGGATCTTTGATTTAGAGTTTACAAGAAAATGGAGAAAGAGACCAATGTACGTGCATAGTTGTAAACTGCTCTATTTTGTTACAAAGTTCTAATCTGTAGGCATATTTATAGCCAAGGTGAAGTACCTACCAGGAAAACATAAAAAGATCAAAGAAATTGAAGGGTCTAGTCTGTTCTAATTTTTTTTTTGGGGGGGGAAGACAACTGGACTCTTTTCCAAATTATTTGATACATTTGGGAAAGTGATGATAGTAACTGAATACAGGTATTGTGTTATCAGTAAAACTATTAGGGAGCACATGTGTATCAACAAGTGACTGTACAGCAATTGACGGTTGAATTATTTTTTAAAACAAGCTTTTGGGGTTTACCGTGATTACTAGTAATGGCTGCCTAAAATTAAACCTCAGGGGATTCTGGGTAAAATGTGCATATTACCCAAAAACAAGGCATGTGCATAGCATTTTGTTGAAAGCACATCAGCGACAGGATGACATCTGTAATTAATGAGTGCATTAGGCAACATCTTGACTTGTTTGGGTATCAGTCTATGTCTGGTTCTTGGACCTGCCTGTAGAACAGCAGGTAGGGAGTGGCAGCACTGCCTGAGCCCGAGACAGGGTGCAAGACCGAGGCCGCCAACTCCTGCTGGGTCAGCAGGCTGACCTTCTCGTCGTCAAACTTCCCCCAGCGAGGCTGGCTGGACTCCGAGTTTGCCCCAATCCCTGGGTCCGCTGTCTCGTACGATTCAAGGGGGCAGTCCGGAATGCGTACGTAGGTGATGTAGTGACCGCTAGAGCTGGACACACCGCTGTGCATGACCACCGCGCAGAGGTTGTACTGGCAGTGGAGCTGCTGACACTGCTTGGCGCACCACTGACTCAGGCACAGGGACAGAGGGGTGGCCAAGTGGTCGTTGACCTTTGACACAGTGCTGTCTGCTGTTAAACTAGGTCAAAAACAGAATACACTCCATACTTTCAAACACAAGCAAAAGAGCACTCCAGTTGATCTAATGTAAATTGATTATCTAGACAAAATGGCAAGATACTGGTTAAAACCATCAATCACTTCAACACAACCATTCTGACAGATTGCAATGCACAATCCCATCAAGGGAAGCCCCAACAAGGTCCGAACATCTTACACTCAATAAGAATTTCAGCCACTGATTACACCTTATTCAAACGCAGGGACCAGCGTTAGCATGCGATTAGTCTGTGACTCTTCAAGTCTCATAATGCACTGTCTACACAGTGTGTATCAATTCGTCTGTGCAGCAATTAAGTCTCCCACAGATTACACAGCCCCCGTCACAGTGGCACTCAACCGTACTCACAAGCCAGAGAGGGCGCTGAATCTCTTGAGGTGGATTGTCAAGACCGGGGGCAGCTCCCCGAAGAGCATGCTCCTCTCTGCCTCCGCGTGGTGGTGACAGTGCTCACAGAAATACTTGTTGTCGTCCGTCAGCCGCTCCACACAGGCAAACTCTGAGATAGCCCAGCTCAGAGACAGGTCCACTGGGGAGACTCCTACAAGAGGAGTTGGAGGGGGGGGCATCAAAAGTAAATTTGCCATCTTGGATTTTCATTTGGGAATTTCACAGAAATAATCCTGTTTAAGATTATCTATGGCAAAATCTTGAAACTCATCGTATGGTTGGACTTTACTGTCACCTCTTCACCCCTCTGACCCCTACACAGTTAAGAGAACTTTACATTGAAAAGACTTTTTCCCTGTACACCCCAGAAAGGACACGTTTGGAAGGTCTAGCTGGACTTCATGCAATAGTGTAAGTTTCCAATGGGAATTCACAGTATTTCCGTTAAAACAACGTCACTCCCAAGTTGGTGTGCACACACGCCAACTTGTTACGGGGCCTGCAGTACAAGCATGTTGAAAGAACATTATGGCAGCCAATTTGGTCCCCCCAAAGAAATTGTCCCCTAAATGCGGGGAAGGCGTAACCACACATATTTGTTACCAGATAATGGCGACAAGGCACATATCGAAATATACTGCGGACCAAAAACGTTTATGGAGACAAATTTCTGTCCTCATAAATCGTTCCCACTTTTCCCAACAAAGGCAATGATCTCCTTAACACAGGGAAAGCCTACCCCTTCCCCCACACATTATTGTATCTATATGTGAATTGGCTGAGAGCCCCCCCAATCCCCCACTTTCCTAGCTTGCCATCAGATTCTACACTTCATGTATGTCTACTTCATTTTTACATGGTATTCAAGCATCTCTGTCATTCCAAGTCACCCCTTAAGAATTCATCACTGAGTACGAAGCCAATCAACACATTCTTGACATTTGAATTTTGATGGAGTATCGAACCCTTCACCAACCCAGCAAACAAATCCTCCAAAACCTCCCGGTAGATTCTGAAGGATCTAGGAGGATAAAGGTCAGCATCATACTCACCCGGTACTCCTGCATCCTCTTCATCCCGGGTACATCTTGGAATGCTGCGTACTGGCAGGCTGATGTCTTGGAACTCTTCCCTCCTCTCCGAGTAGTTCTCACACTCGTTGCACCGTGTTCTCAGCAGCAGAGCTCCCTGGAAGAGTCCCCGGATCACTTCCAGGTCTCTCTCTGTGGTCTTTGCCCAGGAGGTGGGTTCATCCATCTCGCCTGTTTCAGGGGGTCCCGATGGACTCTCCTGACTAACGACAACCATGGACTGTCTTGAAGGCATCATCTTTGGTTCGGTGAAATCTCCACTGTTTGAGCCAGGGAATGGCTGGGCACTTTGTGCCTTTGTTTTGTTTGATTCGTTTGTCTGACCTGGATGGATGGTTTGCCCATGATCGACAAGCTCACAGGACTCACTCAACCCATTCGTTTTCCCATCAACTCCATTCCCCTGTCCATTGGTTCCATTTTCAAGGTCTTTCCTTAACCCGTTCGGGGGTAGTACTTCCTTCTTGTGGGATGTGAAAGCATCGAACAGGGTCTGCTGGCTGGGAGCCATCCGGAATTTACCTAGACGCTTTTTCTTGCCCGAGGCATTATGTACCTGATTGCACACTTTTGTCGTTTCAGAACTGTCCGGTGATGAATGATTGAACCCATTCACCATGTTACCGTTTGTTTTCCCATCCAATGAAAGACTCTTCGTTGTGCTGTTCATGACAGAGTCATTGCTTGCATTCCGAGCTCTCCCTCTTGGTGTCGCCTTGCCATTCTTCATATCTCCACATCTGTCTCCTTCTCCAGTCACTGTATAGGCTTCCTGATCACACACTGATGAGTTGACGTCTAGTTTGCCATTTCTGCGTGGCATTCCCGTCATATTCTCCATCTTGACTGTTCCTCTGCAATCTTCGGCCAACGCCACGAGTTCCTCTTGTCCGCCTCTTACACAAGGCCCACTCTCGGGCACAGCGTAGCTCCTGGGGCTGTCCCTATCCCTGGAGTGGATGCAGGCCGCCCTATGACTCTGGCCGAGGAGAGGAGACGGGGGACGCAACTTGACAAGCTGCTTCTTTAGCTTCTGGCAGGCGTCTAGGACGTAGCTTAGAAGGCAGCACAGTAGCTCTTGGGAATCGTGCTGCAAGAAGCCTTGGAACATCGGGTTTAAATCCCTGTAACCAAACAAGACACACAACATATACAATAGAAAAAGGCATCTGGTAACCAATAGACGGGTGTAAATTTTCCATTGTTATAAATCTATTTACAGAAGGAAGCTCCTGTATCAGTCAGGAATATAAAACTTATATTCATGACTGACAATATTAACTTATATTATATTCTACCCAATTTACAGGCATTACCTGACGGTTTCCAACACCTCATCAGGGGATAGAGAGATAGTGGTATCAGATGATGGACTGGAGATGTAATCAGCTTCCTTGGCAGACATCTTATCATACAGCTTCAAATAAACAGTCAAGACTAAATCCGTTAGTCTATAATCAAGCTATTACAAAAGACAGAGTGTCACTAAAGTTCAACTTATAATAAATGCTTCATGTGATAAGCTAGAAGAGAATAAGGCTGTCAGGATGATCAAAGATATTCAGGCCAGCAGACGGAGAGATGCAAATCAATCTACGCAGCGTAGAAGTGTTTCTTGACTGCCGAATTGCCAAACACACTTACATGTTAATACCTGACAAATGCATCAATGTACCAGAGATGTTAAAGATTCTAGGGCCTTCTCAGACAAATTCAGACAAAATGGGACAATGTGCTATTGAACGATGTCACTCCTGGATGCTGTCTTTGCCAGCAGGCTGAGGACTCTGAGGCCATTCTTTGTTACTTTGGGCACTTCAGCTGCGAGATAATTTTACCGTGGGTAGGCTTCTTATTTTGACAGCTTCTGTCTGCTCCGAGCGCAACAAAAGGGGGCATGTTTTTTGGGTACTCACTGCATAAGCGTGTGTTGGAGATCAATGCCGTATTTGACGCGGAGCACGCTGAGTGCACGTAGCGAATTTATTCCTTAATGTATGGTCTTTGCATACACGCAGAACATGTGCAAGAACCCACTTGGAAAACGTACGACAACCATCTGTATTTCTTTTGCCGCTTGGGAGGTGTACTTCAACTAGGAGCGGATACTTATGGCAAATACATCCAGCAGTGTTTCTGGCGAAAAAAGCTTGAAATATTCAGGGTTTGCAAGTTCAATTTGAGTAATGAGATATGAACTGAAATTCAGTTCTGTGCAATCAAGACCACTGGATGAAACTTGGATTGTCTTGCCTTTGGAAATCATTTTCATAATCTTGTCTTTTGGGCAGAACGGACATGCAGTTTCAAATGGCAATGTTGGACATGGCCATTGTTTGTACTTGCCCCCCAAAAAGCCACAGTACATATTCACATTGAGAAGCATTGGTGAGGCCCACCTTCTTCAAATGCAGGACAAAGTGCATCTCCTGTCCACACCTGGTCAACGGGTCTTCGTCTCCGCCCCCTTCTTCCACCCTCGTCTGTTCTGTCACCCTCTCCCACGCACCGACCAGCCGATCCAGTCCCGGGCAGAAGCCTGGGCAGAAGCGAAGGGCCTGTAGAACACTGTTGAGGTAACAGGTGTTGCCCAGGTTCTGCAGGCCGGCAAATGGCGGGGGCGGGCAACGGACGGAAACCTCCAACTGGTGTTCCTTGGAACTCGGGGTCTGGGTGGATAAGGGATCTGTGGTCACAGAGCTGCTCGTCGAGCTGGATTGTCTGTGGAATTAGTCATGCAGGCAACAAAGTGAAACAGTGAAAGACTTCAAAACAAAATTTTGATTTACTTTTCATTCTGCACCATCCTGGAGGGATTTGTCACTTTTTGTTGGACACCCTTAACCTGAATGCAAAGATTTGTCTTTCAGATCTACATGTTGCTGTCAGGATTTATTGCATGTAATAGGTTTAACAATAAACTTACAGAATTAATGACTGCAGACTGCCTGAAGGAAATTATGAGTAACACTGAAAAATATTCAAGGAACACCTCCAAAAACAATAACACGAACAGCAACAAAAAAATCTGTCCTGCTGAGGTTTCCTGCATTTACAATGTCACACTGAATCAGTCTGTCCCCCACATGTAACTGTCACTTGGTAAAAAGGTCCCTATCCTCTCCATGAAGGAAGTCCATTGCAGTCATATCATTAAAAAGAAGACTTTCAAAACGAAGGTGACAGAAAGCCTGAAACTTTATCTTGTACTTGAGCAGTGGCACAAAAGCACAACATGTTCGGGAATGAGGCAAAATGAAGTGAGACCTACCCGTTCGGGGCACTGTTGCGTCTAACTCTCGCACTGCCCTCCCTCTGACTGACGGCATCATCGTCCGTCACAGGGCGTCGGTCTTTCCTCATGAACTTCAGCGACAGCTTGGGTCTCTTTTTTGGTGGACTGGAGCAACTTGCCATTTTGGTGGAAAGCAGAAGTAGCTCGCGTCCCAATTAACTAGCATGACAGGTTTAAATGACGTTTAAATGACAAAATGTGCTGACCACCTATAGTTATAGCAACTGCACTAGCATCCTATTTTTTTTGCCATTTCCTCTCTACAAGGAAGGCAGTTTGAAAACTTGGACTGAAAAGCTTTTTCTGACTGAGAGCTGAGGTCAACTGTGGTGAGCAATGAACTGCCAGTTGTACTACAAGGATTCAACACAACAGAACAATGCAGCCAACACAATGCTGTCAGTCACACAGTCATGGTATGGCCTACGTCAGACTATTATTCCTCACTCTCCCGCCTATTTTGGCTGGAATTCACACCCGGAAATCAACTGCAACTTCCTTTGTTCACCCACCATAAAAAAGGATTGTTACAAATACTCATATTTGCCAGAACCATAGTTGAGTGGAACCTACTGCCAAGAGACATATGACAAGTAACTACAGTTGACAGGCTGCAGACAAAATTAATCAACATGGATCCAACTACTTTTATCAGGGGAGCCCACTATTAGTATACACTGGCCATGACACACCTGCAACACCGTATCCCGTTTGAGGAGTTTGTTTGCAGTACTAAGAAGAAGAACCTTGCCAGACACACCAGTCTGCATCAACTGTCAAAGTGGCTTGCCCAGTGTAACAAAATCCAACAGGCCCACTCTCCCCATGGCCAAAAAGCCTGGGACTCAGTTTGTGGCTGCAAGTCACCACAAGATCCAACAGTGGCACTGTTCAATGGGACTAGCTCCCATTGTCTCAACACTGGCATTGCCAGTTTGTTCGGCCACTGTTGCTTGGCTTTTTTCACTTGATGCACTGTGCTGCATCTGGCAGGAGTTAGGGTTTTAAGGCCCTAAATGTAGAAAAAGCTGACAATACTTTGTATATGGAGTTGGCCTAGGCCTATGACGGAATAGTGACTTTGAGTTCTCGAAGTAGGGCCTAGGCCTACCCTAGTAAAGGGCCCTAGATACAGATAGGCCTAGTGCCTAAGTTATGTGGCTAGAAAACACTTGGAATTTTTCAGACTAGTTTCAAACTTATGCATGAGGTTTCAATGGTATCCGCAAATGGAACTCTTTCCACATCAGATAACACTACACAGTAACTTACGGGGTACACATTTACATGTCGGAAATAGACGGTTCAGCCATACACACTTCATCAAAAATCAACACGTTCGGGCCTGGAACATAAACTGATCAACGCCGTCAAACGTCATGATTTCGAACAGAATTCCCCAACTTACCTCGAAAACCAACTTATACTCAATAGCCTATGAATTTCAACAATGTGCAAATCTCGACAGCAAGCCACTTGAAATGATTTTTAGTGCTGATGTAGTTCGTCAAACTCTGTCAACTTTCACAACTCATGAACAAGTTTGCCGCCATTACGGGAAAAATCCACGCCTGCGTATTAAATCATCGCTCAATGAATATCGCGTTAAAGGGCGCCCTCTCTCATATGGAAGTGACCATATGTGGGGGGAAATTTGTACGGGGGCGCGGGAGAAAGTTACCCAGATTAGTTTTGGCATCATAAAATAAATCCAAATTACATTCAAACACAGCTCTGTGTACATCTGAGAATGACAACTCTTTTTTTTTTCTTTTGAGAAATCTCCATTGGCACAGGTATTTTTCCTTTTTTAGGGAGTACCTATTAATTCCATAGAGCAACTGATTTCTCACAGCACCAAATTAGTACCAGTATGGGCTTTACGCTGGGGTTCCGTTGCAACTTAAAAAGACTTGTTTCCAAGATGCAAATTATTAGAGCATGGACAAAACATCGTTTTTATAGTGGGTGTTTTGCCCTTTGAACAACAGTATCTTCTGAAAATAAAAAAATACAAAGAATGGGACACATAAGGAGCACCCCAATGTTAGATTTGTTTGAGCACACTGAGAACTTTCCCTTTGCACTTTGCAATTGTAGATAAACTTTTTTTTTTTGCAGCTGCTCTAATTTGATTTGTACAGTTTCTTACAGAAAATAACTTGTCCACCCAGGGCCTTACTGCCTTTGGCTATTTACTTTTCTCCGTGATCTTAATGTCGGCTGTCAAGACTCATAATCTCAAACAAACATAGGGCAGAACCAGATCCACTGAAAGCCCGGTAGAATTTTCAATAGCAAAACGTGATGAAATGTAAGCATTATCGAGATGCTCTTTGATGCAACTTAAGGCAAATAAAGGAAACTTCTTTTAATAGACTAAAAACCTGACTCTTGCATGTTTAGTTTACATCTGATGAGTAATCAACAATAAGTGACAATGCCTTCTAATTATGTTCTTTGTGTCCAAACAAAATAAGACTTCAAAAACAGACATTCTTTTGAATGTACAAATGCAGTTTTAATCTGCACAGAAAAGAATCCAAGTTTACAATTACATACCAAACAAATACTGCTCGCTGAAATCAGTTCTGAACAGGTTGTACATAGACGTTTATTAAAGTTACATATAATTAAGTCTGGGAGTAAACAGGATTAAACAAAAAGGCATAGTGACCTAAATAGAATCAAGAAAATACGTTCATTTATTAAAAAGGAGTTGCATAGTAACATATTCATAAGGAGATTTAAATTAAAACTTAATCTTGGTCACATTGATAGGTTTGATTGGTATAATACAGTAGCCCACGAACACAGCAATATTTATGATGGATTTTGTACTTAAATACTGCAGTAATTTATAGCCTTTATTACAAAACTATAGCACAGACACTTTACAATACACCAAATGCAAAACTGAACTTTTGCTGTTAAACAAAATATTTACAAATAAAATCACCCTTCTTTGACATAAAAAAATTAGTGACCAAAACTAAATACAACTAATCTAAAGTACTTAACTTTTCTTTGTACTGGTATCTATAAATAACAGGAAAAGACAACTGTGTTCTGAAAGACAGGCTGTTTCTAAAATTACCAAAATCAAGTGCTGTAAACTCTTAACATCCAGGTATGGTTGAAACCACAATGCTAGTCTAGACAAACTCACAGCATAATGATGACATACATTTCAGACAAGGGCAGTTTAAACAATGTAATGTTTCTCTTATTGACTCAACATGTGAAAATCTTGGTTCCAGTTCTCAACAGGGTTAAGGCAACTTCAAGGGCGGATCCGGAATCATGAGGGGGAGGGGGGTTGGTAAAAGAGGAAGGCCCCCCCCGATTCACAAAAGCTCCATATGTATACTAGGTTTTTTTGGTAGACAACCAATTCAGGCCAAAAAATACCTGCTGCGCTAAGAATGTAGAAGTACTGGTTTTTCCACATCTAAATCCCGTTTTTAGCTCTTCCTCACACTAAGCACATACCTTAAAAAACAAGCAAATCAATTAGGTACTCGTACTGACATATTTAATTATCCTCTAGGCCTTATAAAAAGCTATTCTATTTCTCGGAAACCTGTTTTGAACTGTGTTTATTCAGCACAACGAGAAAACTAAAACCAGCACAATTCCAATATTGGCGTAACCAGGAGTATACATGTGATTAACCTCGATGTGACATCACACATTTACTAGGAAAAGCATAGCATGTGTTTTATTGAATGCAGTACACAAACTAGAAACTTTATTGTCAATTAATTTTAAAGTTTTGCCCTGCACGACGTGTATTATCACACTGCATACTCAGTGTTTGCCCCCGAAGGCTTGTGGAAAAAAACACAAGCGTACTCAGGTGGGACTCAAACCCATGACTTCCTGCTTACAAGTGCAGACATCTTAACCACTCAACCACTGGCTGGTTTGAGTCAGATGTAGCAGTGGGTACCACTGTATGCTTGTGTTTTAATTAATACATGTCAGGCAAGGCAAAAATCTAAAATTAATTAACATCTACATCCTTACAAATAACTTTATTGTCACAATGGGTGAATGACATGCTGGAAGATTTAAGAGTCAACTTTTGAAATATGAAATTGTGAGCACACAAACAAGTATGGCCTGTATTTGTTTTTGTTGTGTTTAGCCAATTATTGTTGGAGTGGCCAGCCAGAGCAGCACTGAACAGGCCAGAGTGGCACTGAATATATACCCAGCAAGAAATGNATACCCTGCTGCATACGACTGAATAGGTCAAATGGCAACAAGAGACAGGTGGCTGCTACCAGAAGGTTAAGAGTGATGTGTGCACATTTATTTTTAATCATCAAAACATTGTTCACTTTAGACACTTTGACCTTTTTGCTTGGCAAAAGGCGAAACATCAATTTGTTTTGTATGCTAGACAGCTCTAGGAGACAGGCAAATCAAATCCAAAGACACTTTGACCTTTTGCTTGGCAAAAGGCGAAACATCAGTTTGTTTTGTATGCTAGACAGCTCTAGGAGACAGGCAAATCAAATCCAAAGACTGCCATGTGTTCCCGTCTCGAGCAGGCCGACTGCAGTTGCCTTGATGTGGGCCATGTATACATAATCAGAGGCAAAAAGGACCTCCAATCATTGCTGGAGTCAAACATCTGTTTTGAAGGATACAAACAGGTTCCACTACGTTGCACCAGTAAAAATGTGCATAATTTTGAAAACTGATGGAAATCATATTCTTTTGTAACTTCAAACATCTTACCCAGAAAGGTTTGTAAAGACCTAGATTTGTTTTGTTTGTGTTAACATGTTGCACTCCTTCAAGTCTAGAAAAAGGCCACACTTTTCCTTGAGTAATGTTTCTAACAGCTTTCACGAATTGACATGAAACATAGTCTACACATTGGCTTGAACGTACAGGTTGGAGCAATTTGAAATGTAAACACTGAATCGCAGGAAAACATCAATACAGAGGGCAGGTACAGCACCCACCTAATGCATCAGCTCATGAAGTAAACAAATACATGTACACCATGTGCCAACTGAAATTACACACCCAATTGCCGTCCCGCGGAAGTCCTCGCTGTGTCACCCTCGTACACCTGTGCATATATATTACACCTCAGAGAGAGACTGAGATTACACCTCTAATGAAAAGCACTCTCTCTTCATTGCAAAAGTGCTCTCATGTTTGCTAGGTAATTTGATTGAAAAGAGCGGCAATCAAACTGAAACGAAACCACGTTAGAGGGGCCTGATTTTCTGTTGTTGCTGAATTGATGACATTTAACAACCCAACTTGTTTGCTTGTCAAATCAAACAATGATTTTTCTGAAGTACTTCTGAAAATCCTCTTCAGAACTTGCAACAATGAAATATAAGATGGGCTTTTTAAAAAAGCATGATAATAAAAAGGTGACTTAGTTTTGCTATAACACGCCTTGCTTGACTCCTGCATTACCAAAGAGCACAGGACAAGTACCTCTACTTACAAGACACTTCACAGGGTAGACAGACAGACAACCCCACTTAAAAGCCGGTGAATATAGAAAACACTTGCCGAGACGAGATGGCAGCAGATGAAGGGTTCTTGACTGTGCCCTTTGAAGACAACCACAGGCCTATTTTGACTTCAGGCAAAAAGATTGGAAATGAAAATGAGTGAACTGGATTCTAAATGAGCAGTCTGGGAAAGACTCCACACACATTGCAAACCCACAGCAGTTTCTTTAACACAACTGAGGCTTTGCAAAAACAAATAAAAAATGTACAAAATTAAAACACTGAACAAATTCACTTGAACATTTGCCAAAAGGGCAGGTAACACCTTTTAGTCAAAGAGTGTAAGAATTTTAATTTACAGTAAATTTTCTTCCGATGACCACGCCCTTACACTTTTAACAAATTGCAATATTTCTGGGTTAAACCCAAATCTTCAAAACAAAACTGTGACACACTGATAATTACACCACAAAGAACAAGAACAGACAGACTGAAAACCTTCCTCGAGAAATTAATTGCCTCGTAAATCAGGAACAAATATTTTTCTAATCAGTCGACCATACAACCCGTGCAATATGCCAGTCCATACATAAATATCACTGGCTCAACCACGGAAAGCGTGGTGAGAATAAACACACTTGCAGTCCATGCCTTACACATTTAATAAGGCCCCCCGGAACTCAAGGATATCATCAATTTACGATGCCTTTCTCAGATGAGCGCCAAAAATGCAAACATGGAAAGCTGCTGGAAGGCAAATTACTCAACTGGTGCGCAAACACCATTTGTTATAGAGTACCGAAGTGTGACGTCATTTAGAACCAGGAAATGTAAGGCAAACGAATGGGGTATGCGCTCGTGTTGGTTCACGCGCTGGTTCTTGCGCTAATGCTTTTTACATGCATAACTGTGCGAGTGACGTAATAGTTCATTTCAGCACTCTATAACTGTCGTTATTACCCACAAAAAGAGCAAAAAAAAAGGATGAAGGCAAAGTCCTTTGTTAAGGTCACCTGAATACAGTAAGTCTATGCACACAAGCTTACATGAGGACAGAAAACTGGATGTGAATGATTTTCATAGACAAAA